GAATAAAACTTGATTTAGTTATTTTACAAAAGAAATTTGAGACTGAATTTGCGACCGAACGTACCAATGTAAGCCAACTTAAGCGAGAACTTGCTCATAAAAAAGATAAAAACAGTCGTCTTGAGTCGGACTTGACTTTGTTTGTGAGAGAAAGAAATGCCGATGTCGATGAATTGAATGAAACAATAGCCTTACATAACGACAGAATCAAAACTAGTGAAGCGATTATTGATCAACTGAGAAATGCAAGCATAAATTTGGAAGAAACATGTTCTTTTGATTCTGCTCAATCAAAAGATGAGCTTGTCAGAAAATATCCAGTTTGTGTCGACATTAGTACGCAAACCAAGAATGACGATCAAAAATTATCTAATAATAACGCTGGTCAGTTTTGCATGAGTGAAAATGCGTATCTTAATCTCCTTAATAAGGTTGCCGAAGTGCGCAAGGATACGGCTCATTCTATTAGTCAACCTCGCATAAATAAAAACGTTAATGCGAATTCCTCTAAGCATTTGGTCGCATGTCCATTCCTATTAAAGAAAGGACATTGTTTAATTAAAGGGATGATCAAGATGTGATTTTTCTCACAATATTAGCCAAAGTCGCATAAGTAAAAAGGCAAGCGTGAATCCTCCTAAAGAAGTCATTGAAGTTAGCAACGATGTGGTTTATCATACTACCCTTAATGACAGTAGTGTTAGTACTAATTCTAGTGCTCCTAATGAAATGTATGCTATACCAGTAAGAATCATCACTCGGAGACGCGGTAAACGTAACTCGCAAAAATTCAGAAGGAGAAATAGTGAGCATTTTTTATGGGAATCGGAGAAACCCAATCGCCCTCCAGAATCAAAGCCAGAATCACAACTCGAAAATCACAACTCCTGGAAGGCTTACCTACAATCGGTCAACCAAACTTTGGACCAACTTGGAACCCTAGTATAAGTGAAAACCTGCGTACTAACGATGACATATTCACTAATTTATCTTGTATTCCACCGGCACGCAATTCGAATAATTTGATAACTATTCATGTTTGTAAACCAGGACCACCAGAGAGTCGCTCTATTCCTACGTGTATTGTAATTAATGCGAGATCCTTGGCTAAACCTGACGCTTGTTCGGCATTGTACTTAGAATTGAATAGTCACAATGTAGATCTGGGTATTGTGACAGAAACTTGGCTAAAATCTACCATTCCCAGTCAAGCGGTATGCCCTGTCGGTTTCACTGTGATACGGAAAGACAGACCATATGGTAGGCAGGGTGGTGGTGTAGCAGTCTTTTGTAGGCACGATTGGAAACTCGAAATTTTGGAAGAATTTTCGAATCCTTATAAATGTCAATGGACTAAAATAACAACCAATAACTCGATATTTTACTTATCAGCAATATATCATCCTCCATCTCCCGAATACCATCCTGATGACCTCCTTAATTTCCTAATGGACTCATGTGAGAGAGTATTATCATTAGCGCCCAACGCGAAACTAATCATAGCTGGTGACATTAACCAATTGGCGATAAAGACATTGCTAAATTACCATTCGTTAGTACATATTGTGAATCTTCCGACTCGTGGCCAAAATATCCTTGATGTGTTTGTAACCAATGTTCCCAACTTCTGGAGTAAAGCTAAAACGATAAAAAGCCTTGTACGATCTGACCATCTGGCTGTTTTACTTAAACCTGTGGTTAAGGCAAAAGCCATAAGAAAAACAGTAAAGTTTCGCGACTTAAGAGAGCACAATAAGTTAAAAATGTTGCGGAAAATGGAGGACTTTCAATGGGACACAATCTCCAGAGGTACTTCTTGTCCAAACGAAATGATCACCAACTTTTATAACAAAATCTGGCCAATATACGAAGAATGTTTCCCAATTATTAAAACACGACTATCTAGTAGAGATCCTTCTTTTCTTTCTCCAATAGTTAAACATCTCTTAAAGCTGAGGAAAATGCCATTAACAAGAGAGATAACGAGAGCAGTAATGGTGAAGTACCATTAAGCCACATTATTGATCCAAAGGTAATGAATGAGCATTTTCAAACTATTAATACAGATCCTGACTATGTTACCCCTCAACCTCTCCCTGTTCCCCGTGGCACAAGAGTACCTGAATTATCCGTCCATACTGTTTGTAAACTACTATTAAATCAGAAACGAACCACCTCGGGTCCAGATGAGTTACCACATTGGTTTTGGAACACCTATGCGTATGACATTGCGCCTGTAATAACCATCATTTTTAACAACTCAATTAAACTTGGCATTGTTCCTGACAGTTGGAAATTAGCAAATCTTTTACCTGTCCCCAAAGAATCTCCTCTGACAGAATCAAACCAATTACGACCCATTTCGTTGACTAATATAATTGTTCGCCTTTTTGAAAGAGCAATCTTTACAACTGAATTAGTCCAGGTGATGGAAAACGCCATCCATAAAGATCAGTTTGCGTATAAAAGAGGTTATAGCTCTACAATGGCCCTAATAAAAGCGCAACATACCTGGATGGAATGGTTGGATGGTAATGCTAGTATGGTACGCGTCTTCTCTTTTGATTTCAGTGAGGCTTTTGACACTGTACCGCACGAGATTTTATGCAATAAGCTGAAGAAGCTTCCTATTAGTCCCTATATTCCAACTGGATCATCAATTTCTTAACCAATAGGTATCAACGAGTCGTTGTTGATGGCGTTAAAACAGAATATTTGCCTATAAGGAACAGTATTAGGTCCAATACTGTTTTCTATAATGATTAATGATATCCGTCCTGTTCAAGCCTCAAACTTAATTGTTAAATTTGCAGATGACATAAATCTAGGGATTAAGGTCACAGATGATAGTGACGCCTCTTATATGGAAACAAACAATATTATCAACTGGGCGGAAATAAATCGCATGAAACTTAACTATAAAAAGACGTGGGAGATGGTCATTCGCGGGAAGATAACCCGGCCACTTCCTGCGCCTCTGCCTATGATTGTTCGTAAAAGTTGGTTGAAGATACTTGGTGTAACGTTTCAAGAGAATCCTTCCATGTGGGACATGCATCTAGTTGAATTAATGAGTAAAGCCTGTAGCAGAATGTACATTATTCGGACTTGCAAATACTACGGGTTTTCTAGGAAAGAGCTGGATCTTCTGTTCCATAGTCTTATTTTATCAATAATAGTTTTTGGTATAGAGGTCTGGGGATGTGCGTCGTATTCTAAGTATCTTAGTCAAGTAGATAAACTTTTAAAACGTGCATATAAGTATGGATATCTTATGTATCAGGTATCGATTGTTGATATATTAAACAATAAAGACAGAGATTTATGGGAGAAAATAACTACGGATCCCAACCATGCCCTACAAGTTTTGCTGCCTCCTAGTCGTCAACTGGAATTACGCAATCGCGGACATGAGTATGAACTACCGAGAGTTCGAACAGAAAGGTTTAAAAGAGTGTTCGTTAATAGATGTCTTTTTAACTTCATATGATATTTTTTAAATTAGAAATTAACTTCTTAGGAACTTCATTAAACATTACAATAATGGTATTTTAATCAATACTAATTCAGAAATTAGTATAATAATTATTGATAAGTAAGTGCAAATTGTAAGCCCGCACGTTTGTTGTGAGGTGTTGCTTTTAATATTTTAATAAAGATTTATACATACATACATACAACAAATGCGAATGCGAATAACGGCGAATCAAACGACGGACTGCGAATAACGACTCAATACGACACCGACGTAATGCGAGTATAACATAAGACGCGCATAACTGCGAAGACGAAGACATACGAATAACGAACTGATTACTGCGAAACCGACGTAATGGGAATATAACATGAAGGCGAACACTCGAAGAAAGCCAGGCGAAAAAAACCCGAATTACGGCAAAGAACGACGACATGCGACTAGCTATAGTGATTCCTTTATATTAGACACAGGGGAGTCAGTAGACAAGTTTATAAATGAACGAGGTTAGATTTATCGGGATTTATACAAGGTTCGTAAGTATTTAATGCGACTCACTGCGAAAGAACGAAGACACGAATGCGAATCACGAATGCGAATGCGAATCACGAATGTGAATAACGAATGGGAATAACGAATCAATGCGAAAACAAATGCGAGTGCGAATAACAGCGAATCAAACGATGGACTGCGAATAACGAATCAATACTAACCGACATAATGCGAATATAACATGAGACGCAGTGGCGTAACTACTATGGGCTCAGACCGGGAGAACCCGGGGGCCCCAACCCCAATGGGGGCCCCATCTGGCTTAGGCGATAGAGCAAAAACATTGGCCAGGGCCTGTGATATGTTACAATGTCGTTTTCTGACCATCACAATTCTGTAAAATCTCTCCCCAAAGTCCAGGAAATGGCATTTCAGAGAGTCTAGATTCAAAAATTTTCCGGGTGAGCCCTGGACCCCTAGAAAACTTGTGCATATACGGCGCTTGACTTGTGCCTTTGGCACTTCTACCAGGGGGCGTTCGAAAATTTTGAACCGGGGCCACCCTGCTTTAACGTTACGCCACTGATGAGACGCGAATAACTGCGAAGACGAAGACATGCGAATAACGAAGCAATGCGACACCGACATAATTAATGCGAATATAACATTAATCGAATCATTGCGAAGAACAAAGGATTTGCGAATCACGATTCAATGTGACACTGCACGTACTGGGAATATAACAGTAATGCGAATCATTGTGGTAAACGAGGACATGCGAAGTATGTATGGATGTACCAAATCTAAGTACATCCTTTCGATTGAATAGTGAATGGATAATACCTATGATCTTAGAAATAGAGAAACCGATTTGTCTCTTCTTAAGTTAAACCAAATACCGATTTTGGTAAAAGACTTCAAATAATAATAACGGAGCGGTAGTATGGAATAATTTGCCGTATGAGGTAAAAGTAGCGGAATCTTTTTGTTCTTGTAATTTAAAAGAACTATTTATCAGGCACATACTGAAAATTGGCTCGTCCTAGTGTTGCCTATATAGTAAATAGTAATTCTTCTTTCTTTGTTTTTGTATGTTGTAGAATCTAGTAATGTTTATGTGTGCAGGATGTTCTTCTATAATCACGCCCCTCGTGGAAATCAGCTCTGAGTTGTTGAGGCCAGCGCGCATAAATAACTTGTTGTATGTATGTATGTGTGTATGTATGTATGTGTGTGTGTATGGAAGTATGTATGGATGTATAACATGGGGGAATGCGAATCACTGCGAAGAACGACAACATGCGAATAGCGATATTGATTCAAGGCGAACACCGACGGAATGCGAATATAATATTAATGCGAATCACTGTGAAGAACGAAGCCATCTGATTGTCTCAGCAATTGTAATAATAAAAAAAAATGTTTGATTGTTCAATGGCGTGGGTAAACACTTCGTCTGCTCATTTTCCCGTGCAAGATAAGAAAAAAATACTGGAAAACTCAACATGAAGCGCTCGGAACAGCACACCCAGGGCAGGCATAAAACTTACTTATAACACATAACAAAGCAGCGTTCAGCGCGACTGCCCGGGACTAGCTATAGGCTGGCTTGAGCGAGTTATCCACGTAACGTTCTTCTGCTGGTCAAAAGTCTTTTCATTATGGAGGAGTTACCCTCTAGAACAATCTGGACATTAAGTACAAAAAAATGAAAATTGTATGAAACGTTTAAAAAACGACTTGCATGACGCGAAGCATGCTAGAACAAATATAGAGCTAAGAAAAAGTATAGAGAATTGTCAGGTTAATGCTTGATACAAAGTCAAAGGTCTTATTCTTTTTGTATCTGCAAGGCAGATATATTGCCATCGTGCGCGTGCCGGAAATTTGTAAGCGTGCTCATAGCCAATCAACGACAGCTTATAGATGAAATGACGTAATGATACTAATTTCAAAATGGCGGCTTACTAAAGGGTGAAACAAAAGGCGATTTGTGAATTTACGATTAAAATTATACATAAAATGCAGTTTAAAACAACGTCATTTTACTAGTCTGAATATGGCAATTGTCGATAGTGCATTTTTGGCAAGCATTTGAAAGGTTTCATCATTTAATACGCAGTGGAAACGAAATGATTTGCAATTTTGGACAAGAAAATTATTGACTAATGGCATTGAGAATACTATTATGAAATTATGAAAGTAATGATTCTTCCACATGTTGCCGTTGTTGGTGTATATCGAGTTGTAAGTGTTGATGTTGATGTTTATCTACTTCTCAATTTAACATTTTCATTGGTGACTTAGTTAATATAAATTACTTGAATGAAACCAATAGAAGGCTATATAATTTCGTAAGGTTACATAATTTCTTTATCAATGATTATAACTATAGACAATTGGTGTCTGCTTTCATTACAGACTTTGATAGATCATTTTTATACAAATTTAGCAGAGTCAGAAGCTAAGTCACACATATTGGAAACATTTCTCTTAAAGCACTTTATAGCAGTATGTGCATTGAATAATTGCTTTCATTAAAGCAAAGCAAAAGTGATAGTGGCTGCATAAAGAGCAGAGATTCAGTTTTAGATTGGAATATCAATACTTATAGTAACAGTTGCAACCAGTCATAATTATCAACTGTGCTCCCTTCTTCATCGACCCTGATTTCTGTAACTGAATGTCATTGCCAATTTATATTCCCCTTCACCTATCCCATACTATATTGCCTTATAATCAACAACAACCATATGATATTTTCTGTGTTGGTGCAATGTACTCAGGTGAATAAGATGCTTGTGATGTTACTCTGAGTGTATATCCGCACCGGGCAAGCTTGAAAAATATGCCTGACCACGGTGGGAATCGAACCTACGACCTTTGGAATGCTAGCCCAATGCTCTGCCAACTGAGCTACGTGTCTGGTCGGTATCACATACTCGAACCGACCAGACCACGTAGCTCAGTTGGCAGAGCATTGGGCTAGCATTCCAAAGGTCGTTGGTTCGATTCCCACCGTGGTCAGGCATATTTTTCAAGCTTGCCCGGTGCGGAAATACACTCAGAATAACATCGAACAACCATATGTCATAATGGGATATTATTTAATATAGCACACAATGTACAAAACTAACATAATATTCTGTTTAGTGGATTTTCTTCCACGACAAAATATTATTGCATGGATCTGTTATGCTGAATTATATCATTCTATTCAAGAACTATATGCATCGATTATACTTCTAATTTCCATACTTGTCATCATTTAATGCTGATGAATGACTTTCAATATATGACCTATTATTTCAATATATGACCTATAGGCATAAACAGTTGATTTGTGTGCCATCAACCCTGACTATAACATTTTCTAAAAGGAAATAGAATATATTTAAAAACAATTATAAACAGCAGAAATGTTGATGTTATGTATCAATTATGGTATAAGAATGCTTCCAAAACTCTACAAAATGTAAAGTTAAAACTAAGACATAAACTTCTCCAGCAATTCCTGGATAGTTATTAAGTACTTGTTTTTCAGTAGTTGATCAATAAGCGTTGTCGATGCTACTGTTGATGTGTTATCATCGCTGTTGTTGTTGTTATTGTTGTTGTTGTTGTTGATGTCTCTGTCGCAGTTTTTGTGAAATTTTCCTTGTTTGCTAGTAATCTGTTTCAATAAATTTAATTAGGACTAATGTAGTAATAATACAGTAAGTTTATGTGTTTGTAATTTTTGTCACTGAAAAGCCCCTTCAGGGGAGTGTCAATAATGTCCATGAATCAATTAATCAACAATAAACAACAATGTATATTGGGACCACCTGTTATCCTGACAACTTCTATGCATCTACCATGTTCTCGCATGCCTGCTAAAGTTTATTATGAACTATCAAGAAGATTTGGAACCCGAAATGTTTTAACAAGAACACAGAGATGGATTTACTGGGGGGGGGAGGATGTGGGGGGGGGTGCACCCGCCCCCCTAGCCCTGGCCAGAGGGGGTGCAGGAAGGGGTCCTATTTTTCATGATAAACAAAAATTATTAGAAACAAAATGAGATACAGAAATTTGAGTAATAATATGATGATAGGCAAACTGTGAACAACAATTACAATTCAAATACTGTAGTCAAGCAAGACTTTGCGATAGTGAAGCAAGTTGATGGGTGGGTGGCACACATGACTGACACAACTCGGCACCAGAGCGGGCAGAGTACCCCCCCCCCCCATCAGATCATGCTGGATCCATCCCTGCAAGAACATTATAAAATTAAGATGATTCAACAAGAACATCATAAAATTGAATATCATCTTTGTGACATTATGGCCGGAATTAGTTTCTGCAATTTGAATATATATCAGCCATTTTATTTTTCTTTCATCTGAGATACTATGAATCTAACTTTATTTTATTTAACTGGTCAACTGTTAAACATCAGTCCCTTAATTTTTTTTACAAGCTACTGAGTGGTGATTGAAGCCTTGGCAAAAGTGCAATCACCATGAGCAGATACATGTACGCTTAGCGTACCTACTTTTACCTTATTTTTTAGAAGCAAATAACATTAATGCGGTAACGGCGAAGAACAAAAACATGCGAATATAGCGAGTCAATTTTGAATTTCAGAAAGTCTAACTATCTTTTGTGGATTGTAGAAAAATTTTTAGCTTAATAAACAAAAGCAATTGTTGAACAATGCGAACTTAATCTAAACATTTGCATGTACAATACATGCAATTCCGCCTAGCTATGCTGCAATGTTGGTATGATGAAAACATCTACTTATCTATCTGTAAATGCGAATCCCTGCGAAGAACGAATACATGCAAATAGCGAATCAATGCGAACAAACGGAATGCGAATATAGCAAACCTTAATGTGAATCGATCACTGCGACGAACGAAGATACGCACATAGCTAATAAAAATACGGCAAATTGGCAGATGCCGACGGATGGCCACCATGCTGAACTGATGAAGCCGGTAAACGTAGAGTAAACGGACTCGTAGGTGGTGCCATCACATTCTGAGGAAAGGAAGGGGGACTCGAGGCTGACGAGGAAGACACCACGGCCAAATAGTGCGAATGGCAGGCGACACTAGCGAACGGGATGCAGCCGACTTCACAAGAACCCCAACTGCCGAGGAAATAACAGCTGGATTAGACACTGTTGACTTACTGATTGAACCACAAGAATGCTCGTTGAAGTAGTGAGTAGCTAGTTAACTTGTTCGGGCATTTCCTATTGAAATTTTCAAAGAATTACACTGAAACTAACTTCGGGAAAAAAGCACTATGCGAATGAAGCCAGAACCACGTTGTTTTTACTTAATATGTTCATATATTGAATAATCTACATATTCAAATGACCCTAGCAAGTGACGTTAGCTAGCGCCTCTTAAGGGGGTCTTCCACCCTAAAAACATTTTTTTTCAATTTAAAGGTTTTATCATCATATTTGAGTCAAATATGATGGAATATCCTCAGCTGACGCAGGATCAGTAACTTTTACATTCGTCGTTGCCATAGTAACTAAGATAGGCCTCGCTATAGGGTAAATTATAGGGTTTGCTCCAAAAATGATGTGAGCCAAACTAATTTACCGAGGATTTTAGAAACAGCTTTAATGGACACTTAATACATAGATCTATGTCATGAACCTAAAAAAATATACAAGTAATATAATAAGGCCTTCATATTTTATCTTTTTTAAAATTATATGAAGAAAGGAGTTCTTATAAGGCCACTCTTGCAATGTATATTGCTGATATATGAAGTTTTTAGGTCCATGACATGGCTATGTAACAAGCAAATAAACTCTGAAAATTTCGAACGAATTGATTCAGTATGAACAGTAGGAGAGTTTTTAGTATTTCGCAAAATGCTCATGTGAGAAAAGCGATTTTAAAGTTTTTGCATGTATTAGAATAACTTAGATAGAACAATATGATTGAAAATGGAACAATAGACTAAACCAATCGCATATCTTTATCGCTCCGGGTAAAATCGTGGTTTACCCTACGAAGGTATAGAATTTGCTGGATTTCTCTGGTTTACGGTGCATTTTCGTTCTTAAAATTACACGGATTTTATAAAGAACGCTATAAAGACTACATTTTTACGTTTTTCTAAAAAATAACGAATATTGGAAAATTTGGGTGGAAGACCACCTAAATTCTCTGTTAACTTCCATTATTGTGCGAATAATAACATCTAACATTAAAACGCGTTCCAAACTATTTTCAGATATTCCAAAACTAAAATTTTCGGCAAAATTCGATTAAAAAAGAAAAAAATGCGACATGGTGCCCTGTTTTATAAAAAAAACGTATTTTTTGCGAACTGATAGACACAAAATAATAGTGTTCACACAAACTCGATAAAAAAAATAAAAATATGCGACATGGTGGCCAGTTTTACAAAAGCCCGTATTTTTTGCGAACAAGTAGACGCCAAACAACAGTGTTCGCACAAACTCGGTAAGAAAGAAAAACATGCGACATGGTGGCCAGTTTTATAAAATAACGTATTTTTTTGCAAACTGATAGACACAAAACAATAGTGTTCGCACAAACTGCTGCCCAGAGGAAATATCTAAAATATATGTTCACTGATAGGGTTGTCAGAATTTCCGACACCTCTATTGCTGGTCAGAGAGAATATATAAAAAATTTGCCAACTGATAGGGGTGTCAGAATTTCTGACACCTGTATTCCTGGTCAGAGAAAATATCTAGAACATATGCTAAATGATAGGGGTGTCAGAATTTCTGACACCTCTATTGCTGGCCGGAGAAAATATCTGAAAAATATGCTAAATGATAGGGGTGTCAGAATTTCTGACACCTCTATTGCTGGCCGGAGAAAATATCTGAAGAATATGCTAAATGATAGGGGTGTCAGAATTTCTGACACCTCTATTGCTGGCCGGAGAAAATATCTGAAAAAAATGCTAAATGATAGGGGTGTCAGAATTTCTGACACCTCTATTGCTGGCCGGAGAAAATATCTGAAAAATATGCTAAATGATAGGGGTGTCAGAATTTCTGACACCTCTATTGCTGGCCGGAGAAAATATCTAAAAAATATGCTAACTGATAGGGTTGTCAGAATTTCTGACACTGCTATTGCTGGTCAGAGAGAATACCTAAAAAAATTGTTAACTGATAGGGTTGTCAGAATTTGTGACGATCCCATCTCTACAAATCAGAAAAAATATAATAGCCAAGGCAATTAGCCTTTTTCACACCGCCATTTTTGGGGTTAACCGTACTTTTTTTCCAATACCGCGAGCGTAACACCACGTAACGGCGACATTTTATAATTTTGTGGGTGTATGATGGTACATTTACTCTGTAAATAGTTAGTTTGTTCTGAAATATTGCATTTCACATTGTTATAATCGTTTATGAAAAATTACAGTATCCCAAAAATGCCGGCGTGAGAAAGGCTAATAGTGTTGTTCGAAATTCTGAAAACCTATTAAATCATCTTTTCTGGTTTGTAGAGATCTTCCCTATCTCCGAAAATCAGATTAACGATATTATAATAGGGTTGTCCGAATTTCGCGCTATTCTATCTCTAAAAATAATAAAATCTATAAATAACCACAAAATATTGGAGCACATTAAAATAATTTATGGCGAAAATTCAATATTTTATTCAATATCTGTAAGTAGTGTTGTAAAATGAACGTCGTTCTGAGTAATTAATATTTTTAATTGTGTACTACATACTAAGAACATATCAACATAAAAAATATTTGTGGCCGGTCTTAATTTAAAGGAACAGTCCCTCAGTCAGCAATGTTACCGTGTTCGCATCTTTTTGCCTCAAACGAGTTCGCTTAGTATTTCCCTTGCAGTTTGTCTCTCCTCTTCATTTTTGACCAAACACAGACCATTTCTGTCAGTGCTTAAGGCAGCGGCAATTCCAGTTACTGAGAAAAAATGAAACAAAATCAGAAAAAACACACATTGTAAACACATTTCTCTTTATAGGACTAAGGATTGCAGCGCTCTTACAGTCGTCTAGCTTGTCCCGCCAAACAATCCATAGATGCTCGGTGGAGAAAAGGTTAATTGTCAGACACATGATTCCTTAAAGGGAAACACAGTCGCTGTTTCTAGTCACAGCGATGTGATTTAAAGTTGGTGATCTTTAGTTGGTCCATATCAAACTAAATTAGCATCGCTCAAATGGTGACTGACTGTGTCCGTTTAACATTGCCAAAACATTTTAGAAATATAAAATACCTTTGGGTAAATTTATGTCCAGTACCCAATCTCCGGGACGGCTAAACATTTCAATGACTTTCCTGCACAATTGGTATTCCCATGGTTCTGCTTCAACGTTAATAACATTCTCAACACAACCTGCCTGGAAATTGAAGTGTTCTGGCAAGACTCGTTGACCAACTGCAGCGTGGTACACCAGAAAGCCGTACACAGACTGTGTCATCCCACACGAAGTACTCCCTTTAAAAATTAAAAAAAATATGCGCCAGTTAAAACTTTTAATCAAAACTAATTTTGTCATCGTAAATGATGTCGGGTAAATACCTTAAACGCCGGGATGTACAACTGTAGGCTATTTATGCCTAGGCCGTACAGTCGGCCTTCTCTACAAAGTAAAAAACATACAGTATGCATATCCCCAATGTCCTCAATACCTATACATAGTAATACTTAGTCTTAAACTTCTCGCCTAAACTGGACCATTTAGGAAATTTTAATTAACGCCTGAATCTAGAAGCAGGTTTAAAAGCTAATGTGGGGCTTGCTCACATCGAAACATTAAGTGGGGAGATTTTAACAAGTGAAAGTTGTGCGGTAAACATGTTACTGTATAATGTTAAAGATATTACCAGATGCTTTGACGCCCTTTGTAATGATGTACCCAGCTTCAGAGCATTCTCCTCTGTTGTCGTCCAGCCAGTCTTTTATCTTCATGATCTTCTCAACCGGGCCCACAATGACAATATTGAAAATTTGCTGAACTCCAAACTGCAGTCGTTCAATAAGATGCAGCACTTGCTTTGCATGAGTGTCTGTCACATCCTAATTAAAACAGCACTAAAACAGTGTAAAGAGAGGTTCATCAAAAAAATAATATGGAGGTTCACCAAAAAAACTGTTAGTGTAACATGTACAGTATATATCTCCTACAGTGTGTATTACCTTGCATGTTTCTGCAAGTTTATAGAGTGCCAAGGAAAATCCACGTTCTTGGCCATATATGTGCCCATATTACCACATTTCTGTCCAAAGATGTAACTCATATAATAAAAATAAAAACAGCAAAAGTTCCTATCATTAATGGCAAAGTTGTCAACAAAATGAGATACAGTCGTGCAGAGAGAATTGTGCGTCTGTCACTTAAGTCTAAGTCTGCCAACCGAAAGGAATGCACTAGTGTAAAACCTGTTGAAATGTCTTTTGCTTCACTTACAAAACTATCTAAAGAATGTACATTGTCTCACTACAAAATAAGACAAAATTCAACTGTAGATTCAGCCAATGATATCACAAACGCAGAAGTGAGAACATTACAGGGGCAGTATATTAAAGTTGAGGATGGAACTGGCATCTATAGGCCATTAATAGTTGAAATGGAAGAGTGGCCGAGAATTTATTTTAACCGCGATTCATCACTTTCCCCATTTTGTAACCCAAATGTCAAAATGAGGCAACTTACCACGGGCAACAGAACGAAAGAGAGATTATGTGAACTATGTAACATGTATTACAATGATGTACAAAACCATGTACATGGCTCCCAACATCAAGTGAATGCAAGAAATGATAAATTGTTTGCTGGTATTGATGCAATGATTGCAGAAAGGCCTTTCAATTTGTAAGTCACATTAACCCATTGAGCCACAGTGCACTCTACTCTTTTTTTACGCCAGACGATTTTACTCGTCAATGGGCCGACGCTTTGCAGCTTATATAGTGGATTAATTAAATAAAACTTTATTATGTTAAATTTCTCTATAGGTTCTCCCAAGAAACATAAACAGGACAGAATTTTGGAGATAATAAAGACGCATTGTTGCACACACGATTGTTTAAAATGCCTATCATATAAAGACATAAGTGAGGCAAATAATAAATTCAGATCACTCTCATCCATAATTGAAGAAAGGAACTACATTCTAAATTTTCTGCATGACAATACAAGTAGTTCACATAGAATTGGTTCAGCAGTTAGCCCTACTGCATGCAAGTTTCAAGTTAAAGGAAAACCAGTATGTAAACAGGCATGGGTCCTTATTAATGATATAAATCCAAAACGATTTAATAGAATTTGGCATGACTTTGCCAATGGCATACAGCAATATAAACATGGAAACTCTGGTTCAAAGAGACACAGTACAAAGTCATCAGAATGCATAGCATGGTTAAGTTTCCTAATCAATGCAATTGGTGATCAGCAGCCTGACAGTGGTAAAGTACATTTGCCATCGTGTTTCACAAAATTGGCCATATACCAGAAAATGTGCAAGGAGCTGGAATTGGAAGATATCGTCAGCAGATCACAGTTCTACAGCATTATGGAGAAAGAATTCGGCCATGTTTTAATACCAAAGGTACATGTATAAACAAAATATACTATTGATCTAATTATACTAAGTCTACTAAATACGAGTCAAGTCAATACAAGGTTTTATTTCAGCAAGCAGTATAACCTGAGTATCAGGCCCTTAATATGTTTTCATCTCAGGTTACATTAGCAGTAGAGAAAGACAGTGTAGAGTCTTGAGATCTACTTTTCTTGAAAAAAAACCTTTCTGTTTCATTCATTACAGGAAAACAGGTTCACTAAATGTGACAGCTGTACCGTTACAAAAAAGACCTTGAATCCACAACCAACAAAGAAAAAAGAAAAGAAATTGAGGACCTTCTCCAGAAACATATTCATCTTGTAATGTAAGTTTTAAACTAATGTGACCGACTAATCAATTTCCTAATTAATTGGTGTCCAAAAATACAGTAATATATAATTGTGATCTTTCCATAATTAATGTATAATGTTATTCCTGTCAGTAGACATTTGTGGGAGTGGCGACAATACAAATTTTTGATGCAATACCACAGTTGGGTGAGATCCGGCCGTAATAGTTATGTTAACATACTTGACTTCCAGTATCATAAACTTTCTACTGGCTGGTGAAACAGGTCACTATTTTGCATATGACAATTTGTGTGTTATTAAAATCCAATGACATTTTGTGATGTATACCAATGAAGCTGTGAGGCACTCGTGTTGGAAAATGCTGCAGCTTTAACATCAGGATCTCACAAATCCGGTCGTGACAGCATAGTATTAATAGATAAATTGCTGTCTAAATTAAGCGCAAAACTAAATTACCATATATGAAACTTGTTGTGGAAAGAGATGTACCATTTATATAATTTTCACATTTAGGAAAGAGAGAGAAAAATACCACCTCCATCGGTACAAAGCTCGACGAAGTCCTTCACAATATTTAACCATTATCAGAGTAAATGGATCAGAGTAAGGATGGATCAGAGTAAAACCAATGTAAGGATGGATCAGAGTAAAACCAATGTACCAAACCCTCGACGTATTAGTAAATCAATCGCTAACTTGCAAAAGTTACGGACTCATCTTGTTGGAGCAATAATGCACAGTGGGCTGTGCCCCATGGGAAAGGCCTTTTTTGGTCTTTATGACATTTATCAATGGAAGCATGATGCAAATTTAACAATGAATATTCTTGTTGTTCTACTGGAATTATTCAATGATCGCTATGGGTTACCACCAGTCTTAAACTTACAATTAGATAATTGCTGGCGTGAAAATAAAAATAAATTTGTTTTCACCCTATTGTGCCTGCTGGTGGAGTGGTCTGTGTTTGACAAGGTGAGACTAAGTTAATTTATATAATGTATATTACAAATGCACTTCAATTGTTGCCAAAAGGGTGCTAGACAGACAGACAGACAGACAGACAGACAGACAGACAGACAGACAGACAGACAGACAGACAGACAGACAGACAGACAGACAGACAGACAGACAGACACACTGTAGATAGACAGTATTAACATGGTATAGGATAGTTATTAATTACAAACGGAATGTACCGCATCTAATTCATCAATGCAATACAAAAGGTTTGTGAACTTCAGGTACATTAATTTTCAACATCAGTTGAAGTTAGATTAGGGAAACCTATGAAGTTAATACTAATTAATACACTAACACAAATTAGTGTTATGTATGTTTATTAAATATTTATATTTATATTATAAATCTATTAGATTAAGGGAAACTTTTTACCAGTTGGCCACACCCATGAAGACATAGATGCGTTATTTGGCTGCTATTCCAAGCATATTAGATTAAAAGACATCTATACAGCTGATGTTTAGTAATTCTTAAATTATTTGACATCTATAATTCCATGCAACCCTATTATTTCACTAACCCACTACATCACTTCCGTATGTATATCCAAAATAAGTGACAACTAGGAACAAGCTTAAACCTTTAAGTAACAGCAGGGGAAGAGCGCTGCCACTCAATGGGCTAATCAGACCATCTGCCCTGCATGCACCCTGTTAACCCTTTAATGAAGTGACAATGCACCCTACTTTCTCATTTTACTATGCCCAATGCAACAATTTATACAACAACATTTTTTCATACATTTTATTCTTATTAATTCAATATATTATAGATTTATACAATGCTTTTGAACAATGCTCCAACAAACCTACTCCAGAGTCAAAAAAATCTCAGAAAATGTACAACATTAGAGAGTGGCTAAGTTCCCACAGCCATGATCTTCACGGGCATGTACAGCCTCATTGTTTTAAGTTTGTTAAAAGTGAAAATAATGAGGCTGTAATGTACTACAGGAAATGGACTGGTGAAAAATGGATGGGCCCTGTGAAACTATTAAAGGTCAGTATATGAAAAATATAAAGAAATAAATTTTGTAACCATTCAACCTTTCATTGAGGTGGATTGTACCGGTATGGAAATCGAGGACTCTAGCTGGCAACGAGATTGTTCGCATGGCTAATCAAAATTTGCAATCATTTGTGAATGCATCATTTGTTCTTTTGTGAATTTATATCTGTTTTAGTCAGTACCAGAAAACATGCCAAACCTGCTTGAACCAGATTTCACAAAAGCTGACATACCAGCCGTTAAAGCAGACATCCCAAAGTGGTATTCCATAATGCCACCATTGGCAAAAGAGTGGTGGGAAACTTATCTGAGTGAAATTGGGGAAACTACATGCCACACCACAGCAGACACGGATTGGCCACTCTACAATCTGAAACATCACTGGCAAAGACCTGCAAGTACAGATGCTAGTGAAACGGCAGAGATATCCCAGAAGCTTATCCACAATAGAGAAAAGGAACTTGCACCACTGGAAGAAGTAAATATCTATTCACATTCTTATTTATCTAGTATATAAAGTATAAAAATATTTGTCTTATGGGGGCGACTTGTGATAGTTATGCGATTCAAACTGTTAGCCAATATTCTGCCAAAGGTTGCAGGTTGGTTCCTCCAGGTACTCCGATTTCCTCTGAAGGAGAATGTTGACAGGGTGGTCTGGGTTTAACCCCTAACTACCCTTCCACTGTAGAGCTCTGTGCTCCGTGATGGCAAGCAAACACTGCCGTAGCCAGAATGATAATTGGGGGCGGGGGGCACATATTCATATATCCGTGTTCACATACCATAAAAACAATTGATTTCAAACGAAATTAATAAAGCAGAACACAAATATATGAATATGTGCCCCCCCCTAATTATCGTTCCGGCTACGGCACTGCAAGCAAACCTTCAATCCAGTCGCACAGCTGCAAGTTAGGATAATTAGTACACTCCTACTTACTTACTTATATTTTACCTTAGATTTATACTGGAGCATATCAACCATCTGCTGCTCGAGGTATTGTACGTGATGACCAATATCTAGGATCACTTGCTGTCGGTGTGCTTGTTGCAGTTCACATAAGCAATTACAAAAAGAAACCAGTTATTGGGAAGGTAATAGAGGTTTTCGATCATGAATTTCAATTGCACTACTGGAAGGGTACCTACAGTACAGCTTGGCAACCGCATATGGTAAAGTGTAATAAGGAGACAAAGCCTTGGACAGACAATTTGCCAAAACATTCAGTCATCATTTGTGCTTTTGAATTTGACGAAAACAACAAACTTCTTGAAAACACAAGAAGATATTTAAAACGCTGGTATTGGGATCAAGCAAAAAGGGTTGAAGATTCAAATGCACAATAAAATCCTTGTATAAACTGGTCAATATATGAGTACATTTTTATAAAGTACATTTATTTGTCAAAATATATTTTTAACAAGTGAACTTACTTGAATAAGTTATTGAATGGTCTTTCGATCTGTTTTAAATCCATTGTTTGTGTCCAGAATTATTTTCAATACAACATAAATCTATAAAAATAGTTTTGTTTCCTCGCTAGCTCGGCAAATGCAGCAATGCACCAATGCAGGAAAATTTGGCCAGCGGTATTAGGCATGCGCAGGCATACGTAGGGTAGTACTTCATTTTTTATGTAATATAGTCAAACGGACATGCCCAAATGTCGTTACTTCCCGGAGGGAATGCGCTATGGGTTAGTGTTTAGGGTTAGGGGTTAGTGTTAGGGGGTCTCAAAATTGCCTGGTTCCGTGGTTCTCGCGTGTTTACACGGCTGAAACGGACGAATTTCAGCCCGGTTCCAAATTCGTCCGGTACCGTGTATACGGGGTCTTAAACTGTCAAATTTAATACCGCTTCCGACGCGAATCCTGTAGCGTATAGTCAGAAATTCTGACAACCCTATCAGTTAGCATATTTTTTAGATATTTTCTCCGGCCAGCAATAGAGGTGTCAGAAATTCTGACACCCCTATCATTTAGCATATTCTTCAGATATTTTCTCCGGCCAGCAATAGAGGTGTCAGAAATTCTGACACCCCTATCATTTAGCATATTTTTCAGATATTTTCTCCGGCCAGCAATAGAGGTGTCAGAAATTCTGACACTCCTATCATTTAGCATATTTTTCAGATATTTTCTCCGGCCAGCAATAGAGGTGTCAGAAATTCTGACACCCCTATCATTTAGCATATTTTTCAGATATTTTCTCCGGCCAGCAATAGAGGTGTCAGAAATTCTGACAACCCTATCATTTAGCATATTTTTCAGATATTTTCTCCTGCCAGCAATAGAGGTGTCAGAAATTCTGACAACCCTACATCAGTTAGCATATTTTTCAGATATTTTCTCCGGCCAGCAATAGAGGTGTCAGAAATTCTGACAACCCTACATCAGTTAGCATATTTTACAAATGTTCATGTATTTTGCAGACAGCAAATTTAATTCTGTTAAAATTCAGTTATTTGGATACAAAATGAAATATTTTTTCAGTAGTCCACACATTTAAGGAATTAAAAGATAAATTTTTCAGTTCTTCGCACAATTGGACTTGAAGTTTTATTACTTTTTGGGTTAAACCAATATTAGTTTGCACAAAGTATAAAAATGTAGCATAAAAATGGGCTAGAAATCTTGGTAACATTTCATACACTTAAAATAAATGTTTTATGCGAATACATTTTCGGAAAAATTTAGCGGAAAATAACAAAAATTTGCTTCAAATTCCTTCGAATCCGCATAATATCAAATTATTTTGATATTTTGCGGAAAAATTACGTAAATTCCGCACAATATAGCAAATAATACTCAAAATAGGCATTTTGGAATTTCTCAAAATTGTTTGGAACGCGTTATATGCTTCGCCTTTCGAATACTGTATGTCTCGATTAACAAAAAGTTCAAAGAGTTTGGATTTTAATACATGGTTTCCCGTGCAACACATTGTATGTGTGCAAGAGGATATACTTATACCAACAATTATGTTTTCCATTCGTTCTTTTTGCCTAATCGCCAGCCATACCTATTCCGATTCCTTATTGTTTTCCAGGTAACGTTCAACTATTTCTTTCAGGATTGAGTTACGGTTCGGACCATCAGG